TAGATACATAAAGATTGCATTATATTTGGTTTATAAATACAAGATGCTTGTTTAATTAATAATACAATACAATAAAATAATATGTAATGAAAGATACTTGCAGTTTCTTAATCTACAATAGTTTCCAAAAAAATGAAAACTTTTGGTAAATGCATTGATACTCTGAGTATTATTTAACTTAGAGAAAAATTTGTACATCTATCAATATCTCATAATTCATTATCTCTTTGACTTTTTAAAGTAGTTAATAGAGGTTTACTTTTCACCAGTATCATACAAATATTTGTCAACATTCATTCAAAATTAATGTACATACTTTTCAAGCAAACATCTAAATTTTAAATAATATTCTTTTTATAGTTTTGTGGGTAATCTATTTGAAAATAAATTAGTCATATTTATAGTTTTAATATATTTTTTCAAGATAAACGTTAACGAATCGTGCATTATATTATTTCAATTAAAATTTAAAGTTAATTGTGGTCAAATTATTAATTTCATCAAAGAAAATTGTTGGAAGATTTTTATTTTTAGTTATAATTAAAAGAACGTTATCCTTCATAGTGATTTACAATTATATCTAATGTAAGCTTTTTCAACTAGCATTATTTTTTTTCTTATTGTCAATGTACTTTATTTCAGTAGAACCTAATATCAGTACTTTAATACTTTTTATTATTAAACTAAAATATGTGAAAGTTTTGTTTTTGCTTCATACATAGCTCGTTTTTTTTTTATTTCAAAGATTTTTTAAAACGCTGCCTATGAAAAACTTCTAGATTATAGATAGTTGCCAAATAATTTAAAATTTCGGAAGGATTATTGGATATCGGCCTTACCATGTTTCATAACTTAATAATCTAAAAGGGAAAAGTGAAAATTTTTTAAATTATTATATTTATTAATATTTCTGAATCTATGCGTTACTACTAGGTAACTTCCCATAATCTTTAATTCACTTATAATCCAAATAATTGTAGAGAATTATTTTGTATTATTTTACTAAAGAATCATCTGTATTTAAAATTATTCTTATTACATTTACATTATTTTCTTCAGTTCTAAATTATTAGTGCAATTATTATATAACTAGCTACATTTTAAAAATGTATAAAAATTATGTTCATATAATTTGAAATAAATACAATTTTGAAATATACAATAACTTTAATAATTATAGTAATATGTATTATAAAGTTATCAGTAAATTATTGATAAAAAATTATAATATATTTGATAACAAATAATTATAAAATTTCAGATTAGAATTTTATATAGAATTTATATAAATGTTTTAGTAAAACAAGTATTTTAAGCACAGATTTGTTTATAGCATTCGTTCCTTATGATCAAACTATTATTTAAGTTTGATTTGTATGTAGTTCACGAATCTAATACATAAATACATAAGAATCTTAACTATAAAAAATACCTATGATTGATATTTTATAATTATCAAAATAATTATCACTATGAAATAAATATAGTACAAATGTTGGATTATAAAATGTTCACTAATAATTACTGTATAATAAATTGATTAATATATATATATATATATATATATATGAATGAATGTGAATTTTTTGAGTATCAATCTTTTATTTCTATAGTTTCAAAATAATATTATGAATATTCACATAAACGCATTATCCAATATTTCTCCTATTTTGTTTGATTAAGCTATCAATAGTAATTACATTAATATTTATAGTGGAAGCTTTCTCCAATCAAAAATTGGAATATGCTAATATAATATTTTATAATTATAACAATTTTATAATTGTTAAAATTTAAAAATTAGTTAGAAAATATGTATCATTTAAATATTATATATATATATATATATATATATATATATATAATTTAATACATTATTTATCATGTATAATTTCTTTAGTTATCTCGATACACTTTTCATAAAAAAATACGTAACACGCGTTAAAATATAAATATAAAATAAGATATAAATAAATCATACAAATAAGAAATGTAGTGACAAAATTCTACTCTTTATTAAATTAAAAAAAAAAGATGTATAAATATCATCGATATAATCTTATTGTTTATGGAAATGGTTTGATTTTTTTATCATCTGTGCTTCTTAAATTAATATAGAACGGATGTACAAATTACAGATCATCAATAACTTCCATTTACAAAACTATATCACTTCCGTTTTTAAATTACTGTTAATAATTTTACGTTTCACTAAACACATTATATGTATACACATAACAATATAACTACAGAGAACATTTTACATGAGTTCCACGACCAATACCAGTTTATTGAATTCTATACTATTTACATTCTCGCAATATTAATAAAGTGCATATAAGTCTTGAGCGCTTTGTTATAAAAATTTTTAATTTATTTTAAATTTATTTTTAAGACTGAATCTTTCTTTTAGGAAAATATTTTTTTACACTGTATATTAAATACTTACATTCATACTTCTATTCACATATGCGTAATATCTTTAGTTATTTTATACTGTTATAACTTAAAAAACTAATAATTTTTTTTTATAGCAAAATTATTTAATTAATCGTAATTAATATTTATTATACTTTAACTAATTATTGATATCTGTAAAAATTTCTTATCAATTAAACAATCTGTCATTCAATTAAATAAACTAACATATATGTATATATTTATGTACTAAAATAAATGTATGTAATATGCTTATTTTAATATTTCTTCATTATTCTATATTTCTATAATAAATATTTAATTAATTCAATATAAATTTATAAATAATTTTTTATTATATATACATATTTACCTAAAACTGAAGTGTATTATCCAGAAAAATTTTATTAATTTAAATAATTGTATAATTATTATAATTGGGATCATGAAAAGATTTACTTCTTGTACAGGATTATATTAATGCCCCATTTAAATTTATTCTTCTACCATTTAAATTTATCAGAGAATGAAGATGATTGATATGAAAATGTAAATATTCCTAGGGTTCAGTGTTTATTCTGAAAAAGACGAATGTATATCGAACTGCACTAGACTAACTTACACTTGATGTTTTTGAAATGAATTTTAAATTCCATCGGCATTTATTATTCGACATGTGCTTTGTCTGGATATATAATATTACAGCAAAACAATAGTTTTTACTTCAGTTATTTTAATTGTCACAATAATTTTCTTCCTATCTTTAATTCTGTATAATGCAATTTTTTTTAATCAGTATTAAAGGTTTACTGAAAGTATATAATCTTACTATCATTTAGTTTAACCACCCAACGAGATTTATTAATAGCAATTTCTTATATTCATGGAGCACTTACTGACAGAATAAAATCTCTAATGATCCGATTAGAACACTGAAAATTAATATGGAAATAGAATATTCCTCTTTTTCTTCAGCATTATCATCAGCGAATTAATTTCAACTAATTTAATATAATTAAAATCGTCTTAATGTCATCAACATTTCCTATAATTACCGTTGGATAATTTTTTTCTATGTTAAATAATATTAGAGGAATAGTTTCGAGAGTTTTCATTTTTCTAAGAAGATAATTTTTATATTTTCGCCAATCTAAGGCAATTTAAGAATTAATGACCACAAAACCTAATGTTATTTTAAGATTTAACGTGTCTCATACTATCAATTCTTAAACCAATTATAGATAAACTTATGATCAATTCAATATTATCGATAAGGAATCTGTTAATTATGTTTAATAATATAACTTTGGAAATAAAGCTGATTGATTATGACCAGAGATAGTAGTATACATTCCCTACAACAAATTATATATATTTACAAAAAATTTTTAAGGTAGTGTCTGTACCAGTAATGAACAAAATTATACTTTCGCTATTATATAAAATCATTATCTCTTTGTAGATTAATTATTAAAGACATATGAAGTAGTGTTGCATTATTCTGTAATTCTTGGTGGCGATATCATCGCTTTGTAGGAGAGCGTAAAGTGCAAAACCAATAGTGCAAAATTTCACTCAGTCGTCTTTAACCTCCATTATTGGCACTATCCTTTACTGTAATAGTTGGTGGACTTTTTTGGACTGTAGATAAAAAGCATCACGCTATAGAGATTGGTTGTTTCTGGTTATTGCTAAATTATTTACGTTACTTCCTTTAAATTTTTTAAACTTTATAGATTTCACACACATAATTTGCGTTTTCATATGTAAATTACTTACAAGTAGTAACATACAGCAGTATTTATGTATCTATGCAAAAGCATTAAAGTTAAAAAAAAGATGCTTTTCATGTATTCTGTCAACCGCATAACGAGTCAACGGTCATTAATAGTTACAATTTATAGAAGCTAATATTTTTATGGACGTATACGCTATTGGTTGACGATGCACATTAACCTTTTATTGTTTACTCATTATATGTTAGGTTTGTTAAAAATCAGATGAGTATATATAACTACTAAGTTTTTATATACTTTTTGAATTGTATATATAAATTTTAGTTTGCCTTTATTGTATTTATGAAATATGACATTAATGTTGAATTTCTTTTAATGTCATCATGTGATCCTTTATTATATTATATTATCCGAAAATAAAATAGTCCTAATTTCATACAATTATAATCCATTACATAAATTAAGAGCAGTATTGTTATCTTTTATTTTTTAATTTTTATAAGTTTATTTAATTGATTTCTGAATTTAATTTTTGTATCCAAATTTATTTTGTAGTCAAAGCCTAAATGATAGAATAAATGATAGATATCACATATACCTATATTTATGATAGTTTTGTATATAAACTTAATCTTAAAATATACATATATGATAAGTATTGAAAATTTTCTGTTAAATTTCAGTTAAGTATTTTATAATTTATTCGACTTAATGAATTATGAAAATATCATTAATATTAATTATAACTATACTAAACTATACTAAAGTTTTAAATCTTCTATATTAAAGAAAAAGTTAATTTTCTTTACATATTTAAAAGATTGATAATTGATGATTCTTTTTTAGAAGAAGAAGAATCCAATTTAAGAGACACGCCTACTGCACCGATTATACTGCTATTTACCTGGTCTCTCCACGAATATATTTTGTACGAGCTTTGTGGTCAGTTGTCTCATTATATTTTAATTCGTATTAAAAAATATTGAAAAATATATCTAAAATATTGAAAAAATATATATAAATATATTGAAACATTTTTTTACTATTTTCTCTCGTTCGAAATATATAGTTTTCAATAAAATAATAGCAACAATCTTTTTTTTAACATACAAAACCATTTTAAAAAGGAATATATTCATGTAAATTAAGTAAACGTAAAAAAGTGTAAAAAGCGATAATTGCGACATCTTTGTAATATATTGCCAAATTTCAAAACAATTTCTATTATATATAAGAAATAATTGCAGAATATACAATCAGTTTCTATCTATTATAATATTATTAGAGGTATATATAGGCTATTATATTCGATATATAATTTCAAATAAAAAAAGTAAATTAATTATTATTTCTCAAAAAATTTTATTAATAAAAATAAATTAAATAAACACAAATGATAGCTTGTTGAAATATATAAAATAATAAAGATATCATTTAATACTACAAAATATATCATTCAATATTTCTTATATTATTTTATTTTAGTTTAAAATACTATTTAAATATTTTACACATTGAATAAAGATCGATCTAATTTATAATATTAAATTCGAAATTTTTGAAAGCATTAATTATTTAAAATATTTGAATGAAATCATATATTTTAAATTATAAGTTATTTTATATAAAATAATCTCATGATATTTTATAAAAAATAAAAATCTGTGAATCCGAAAAAACTGTAAACTCATGAATATTATTTTTTTTAAATATATGTAATAGGAATGAAATTTACCAAGTTACAATAATTATTTTTTTAATGTATCATTAATAGTTAAACTAGTCATTTAATTGAACTGTTAGAGATATTATATAAATAATATGTTATCGCCATTAAAAAAGATCTAAATTAAAATTTGGAATCTATTTATGGATGTGTTTAAAAAATTCTTCGTATTTAAAAATTGCCAATATTTATTCTCTTATTATTTTAGAGTGTTTTATATTATTTTGAAAATGAAAAAACCTAACTGATTTAGAATGTTTTAATTCGAATGTTTTATTAATTCTTATATTTTTATTTTTTTAATATTTTTTTTTTTTTAATTATTTATTACTATTTTAAAATCATAGATTTATATATCTCTCAATAGAGTATGACATTTTCAATAAAAGCATCCACAAGGAATATCAATAAATATTAATTAGTAATAGGAATCTCATAACATATTATTATATAAAGATAAACTAAATATACTTAAAAGATGTTGAATTATAAAAAGAGACAAATAAGTTTGTTTATATTGTAATATGCATTAAAAATACAATAAAAAAATTGTTCAAAATTATTATATATATAATTTTACAACATTTACTTAATATGCTTTAAAATACGTGAATTTATCAATACAGATTAGAGCGAATTGTTTGTTCGGATAAATAATTCAGGAGCATATACTTCATATTTGTGAATTCGTAGCATACAAAATATATACATTGGTTATGTAATTATTATTCAGTTATTTATCATTTACTATATTTCAGATTCTAAAGTTATATATAATTAAATAAAACTATAATATATAATTATAAAATTATATAATCTGATTATAATTATTTCACACTATACATTTTTATTTTATTTAAATAATGCTTTTTTTCTCTAAAATTAAATTTTTTAGATCGAAAATTATGCTAACTTCGTGAATTCGCAAATAAATTTATTATCAAATATGACAATAAGCATACTACTTTCTGTAACAATTTTAGTGTAAATAAATTGTATATATATTTTTTACGTTAAATTTTCTAGTTCGAAAATAATATTAAGTTAAAACTAGCATTGTGTTCAGTACATTATTCATTATTTCCTTGATAATATAAACACCTTAAATAAGTTTATTATAAATGTATTTAAATAATCAAAATTTTGATTAAGTATGAAACATTTATTGTAACTCTTTCATTTTTTACATAAATATTTGTTTTCATAATATACTTTTATATTATTAAATATTCTATTAATTTAGTTTACTATGTAGAATTACGTGAAAATACTCAAATAAAAGGTTTTTTCGTTTATAAAACATATAAGTAATAGAAATAATGTAATATACAATTCTTTAGATGGGTACATTTGGAAAAGAGCCAGAGAAGGAATGAGTGCTTAAATGCACGAAAAAAAACAAGTAAAATCGTAGCCTTTGGGTACACAATCATGTGTGCATATATATTTATGCAAATTGAAAGGTTAAAACTGGGTGAGTTTTCACCGATTAATATATTTTATAAATTAATAATTTAAGATCATATAATAAGGTACAAATTTATACCATGCAATAATTCCGTCCTCATCACTCTATTATTTTCTGTCTTTCAAGATTATTGAGATTAAATTTGTTTGTAAAAGAAAACAAAATTATAATATATGCACATATCATATTGTCCCTTTCTTTCTGTAATGTATTATAATATAAGTGTTGGTTTATTAATTTGAATATTTATTTATTTTTTTAATAGTTTAAACCAAAAAAATTTATTTGTTTTTATAAAACATTATTTTTGTCAATATCTATATCTGGATAAATATTAATTTTGTTATTAATTTCAAGCATTTACGAAATAGTATTTGATATAAAACAAAATTTGTCCATTTGCTCTTCATTAATCTATCCATCTATTTATTCCCCCTTTTAATATGCCTATTTATCTGCTTATTAAGATATAATATTAAGATAAATCTGAAAAAGAATTTTAATATAATCAATAAGAATACCTTTAATATGTTCAAATTAAATTTTGGATATTTATTAATCATATTATATAGAAACTTATAATTTTTAAACTTATTTATTACAAAAATATAATGATAATTAACAAATTATTGGAAAATAAACTAGTATTAAATACAAAATCACATTTCAACTCGATTATCTAAAAAATATTAAAAAGTGTAAAGTATAGAGTATTTATTAATCCTGTAAATCTTTTCCGTTTACCAAAATAAAAAAAATCGAATTTTTTTTGAAATTAGGATAATATAATTTTAAATTTAATGACGAATGAATGCAATCTAATTAAACTATTTGTAATATATGTCCATAAATAAATTATTTATAACTTCAAATAGAGATAATTCTGAAAATCAAAAGATAGCGGAAAATTGTTTTACTAATTAAATATATCAAAGTATTTTTAATATGTAATTTTCTTGTATTAAACTTCTATAGTTAATTTTCCTAGATGAGAAGTATTATATTTTTTATATCTGTGTAGTAATTATTTAAAGATTTCAAAATTACATAAATGAAAAATAAACATTTTAAAAATAAAATTTACTTCAAATTATTTGAATTATTCTGTCATAAAACTTTGTATATTTTTAAATTCCTACTTTTTATTTTTTGACATTTATTAATAAGAGTTGAATGACTTAGAAAAATTATTTAATAATAAAAAATTTAATACTTTTCAACTAGGAAAATTAACTAAAGTCTTATATTATGTATAAATTGCAATATCTAAAAGTTTTAAAATAAAATTATAAAGCCATAATTTAAAAATATTCCTTGTGTCACTTTTTAATTATTGGAAAATTCACGTTGTATGGTAAAATACCTTTTTATAGAAACTTATATGTAATATAAACTAGTTAAGAAGTACAGTCAAATAAACAGTGAATCATCACTGCAATTTAATATTCGATTCTTTTAAATTATTCTAATAAATATTTTTTCTTGTAAATTAGTAACTTCTATAATACAAATATATTTTATATAAGATAAAAAAGGGGAGGTTGAGACGTAAATATTAGAAAATTGTAGTTTTTATTTCTATATTAACATTTTTCATACAGAATTTATTTACAATAAAATTTATATTAGTTTTTAAAATTTGTAAAATGAACATGAATGCTTGTGAATAAATTATTATATTGACTAAGTAAACCAAATATTGTCTGATAATGGTTTTAATTTATTTGATGATAATAATATAGTTCTAAAAATATATTTCAAGATATTGAAGTTGAATGTTTCTACAATATCAGAATGTAGAAAAGTTCGTTAAAATATTAAATAAAAATGAAATAAATAAAAATTAAAATATTTGAAATTTTGTAATTAACTAAAGAAATATATGAGTATATTTATTAATGTTTATTATATTTTATATATTTTTATTTTTATTTTATATAATAAAATATAATATAAAATATAATTCGAACCCCTAAGATATTTAATATAAATTAATTTAGTTATTTTTTTGTTTTAAAAAACGACTTATGATATCTATAGTAATATAAAAAACAAATGTGCACAAAAATTATAATCAGCTTGATTGACATTTCTAAATATGTATTGTAAATATATAAGAAATGACTGTATTTGTTAATAAAGAATGTTTACACTTTTTATATAATATTTAAAAGGTAAAATATGGTTAAATTCGACGACTATTCTTTTCATTTAAATTAAGAGTATATATACTTAGTTGACTAGATGAACTAGTATTTCAGCGAGACTAATATTTATGCACTTTATATAATAAAATAGTTTTTACATATTATTGGATTATTTAATAATTAATAATCGAAACAAAAATTAAAGTTATATATAGTAACTTTAAATTGACTACATGTCTGTCTTTAATTTAATGATTAGTTAGAGGCACTTACATAGCCTAGAAGGATACAGGCTTGGGTATCAATTCAGAGTCCAGGTACTGTAAAAGACAGGCAATTATTTGACCTTGCAGAAACGAAGATGGAGATGGAGGCGAGGGCCCAGGTGCTTGCATATCAGAAACCTTAGTCCACCGGTTAGACAGGAGCTGCTTGCTTTTTGAAATATTTCATTCTACTTCCCTTTTTCTGTGATCCAATATTATAATCACTAAAGTAATCTAGTCTGACTATACGATATTCTACATGTAACTGTATCGGTGTTATTTTTATAATATTGCAATATTTACTTACTGTAGTCGTACAATTTATTTCACATATATTTAAGTGTACTCATTACATATGAAATTATATTTCATATTTACATTATACAGAATTACATTCTAATATTTGACGCTGTTTAATAAGTTGGTATATAAAAAGAATAGTGAAATACATACTTTTGAAAATCTTTTTCATGGAAATAGGAATTAATTTTAATCCTTAAAAAAGATTTATATATAGAAAATTGAATTAATAAAATTATGTTTAATTCTGCAAAGAAATTAAAAAACTATATATAATTATATATAGTAGATTGTAATACCATGCACTATTTTACATATTGTAATATAAATACTAAAAGATTTGAAATTTATTTTATTATTAATTTCATTTAGTTTAATTATTTCATTTTATTTGTATTCGTGTTAAAAAATTGAACGGTTATTAATGTATATTATGTTTGATAATTAATCGCTTTTAATTTGTATTTTCATATATAATTTCCATTATTACGCTACTTTTGTATTTCATATTTGAGTGCATATTTATTATAAAATGTAAACGATTTGTACAATCATTCTTTATATATATATATATAGTGAGTTTTTTTAAATATTTAATACTATTTTTATTAAGTAATGCCTTAAAATTTCAATATTGTATTCATAATAGATAAAAACTTTAGTTTGAAATTCTTTTTAATTTTATTATCAATTACGATATTCAGCTATAAGCAATATCTAATTTTTTATTGACATCATAACTGAATCGAAAATAAATAATGTATATTTGACTATAAACAAAGAATATACGAAAAATTTTCAAATTACCATATAAAAACATTGTCAAAGTCAGCGATCATTAGTGTAAATGTATATTTGTACAATAATAAAAATACTTCCTTTTAATTTAATGAATCTATTACGAAAAGTAATATGCTTGATTTTTTAATACATAACTAGTGGTAAGAGTGATGGTGGCAATGTTTTAACCAATATACGAGGTGAGTTGCAACGTGAGTGCTTTTTTTATAATACACGATGTTTAAGAAGTCGTGAGGCACGAAAAAATTAGCTGCATGCTGGCAGGTAGTAGTTATCCTCCGTCGACTGAGCTCCCATTTAATGACAACCCCTGAAGCTCCAACTATGACGAATCCTGATTTATACAGAACTAAGTATTTAGAAGTACTTGTATCAGATATACCTATATGCAAACATAACATATATTCGAATATTTATTTATTCTTCTTTCTAGTTCCCATGTTTTGTTGATTTTTTTATTGACATTTTACTAGACCATTATATTTTGATAAATTAGACATATAGGATTCGATATTTGTTAATTACGCATAAATACTTATATAATTATATCATTTACTTTCTTGAATAATTTTGGTTTGTTATCGAATCAATTACTTAATCACTTAAAAATATAAAGTTAGTTAAACTCTGTTAAATAAAATCCTTTTGTGTATAATTAAATAAGTATCCGTATTGATGCAATTTTAATTGTATTATTGAGATTTGAATATTATTCTATTACCTTTATCTTTTCCAGAGATATTATTTTGTTTAAAATCGTACAACTTTTATTCGTTTAATAATTTATACTTGATTAATTTTTAGTTTAAGCCTTTTTAAAATTTGATATAATTACTGTAAATTTTTTATATATTCTTTTATTCTTTATCAAATAATTCACAGTTGAGCCAAATATTTCTTATAATTAATTTGAATTAAAATTTGAAACTTTAATATATAATTGAATCAGAAATATTGATATTATGAAATTATATGTACATACAGCCTTTTTATAAATGTCGAATAATTTTGTTATAGTAGTTTTTATTACAAGTTTCGAAATTCAAAATTATCAAAAAATCTATTCTTGCAGTTTATACAAACATTCCTCGTTTCAGCACATGGTAATCTCCGCGCATTTATATTCATTGTTTTTTAATCAATCTTCGTCATTTTTAATATACCATAAATTAAATTGTTTTTATATAGCGTTTAATTATGTATGCTGAATTTCTATGTGCTCCTATATTATAGGTGTACAATGTATTTTCTCTATTGTTTAATTGCAAAATTGAATTGTGACTTTTTCATCAATCCTTTTGTATTAATAAAAAACAATTAAAAATGAGAGCAGTAAAAAGAAATAAAAAATTTGAAAAAATTGTATATACAATATATTTAAATGTTCAGCATTTCATAGAATCATCATAGCACATCCATAACAAATATACGAAGCAAGTTATAGATGGAACTTTTATTTGGATTAAATACATGTGATATATAAAGATGTACATATCTGCATTAATTCATATGTTTTGTTGTTCTTTTGTATTTAATAAATATAGCATACAACTATAAATAATATATATAAGATTTTGCATTTGTTTTCATTCATCTGTTGACTTCTCACATTCCTGTATTAATACTTTAATGCATGTTACTAATACACATATAATTACACATTAGTCATTATTAAAATGTATTAAAATCTTTCCACAGTGAAATTTGTAAATTAATTTCAATTTAATTTTTTATATGCATTGCATTAACATTTATGAACTGTATGAAAATTTATTTAATTGTGGAAAAGTGGTGATTTATGAAAATGCGAGTGTATTAATGCATATTCTATTAATATTTATTAATATATATTGTTAATGAATGAACAATAAATTCATTTTATATTAATAATTAATTTTTTTAAGAAATAAAAACATATAATAATATTTCATTTGAAACAAGTTAGTATTACCAATAATAAATATATATTTTATACTAAGAAAACAGGATTAGATATTAATTTGAATTTCTATAAATAATTTTAAGTAATTAACAACAAGTGTTTTTTTAATAAAAATTGATATTCATATAATCATAGAAATAAAAAAAGATAAATAGATATTATATATTATTATTAATTGTATTATTAGATGGTATTTAAAACGTTAATCCACAAATAGTGTCAGTTACTATTTTATATACTAATATTTAGAAGATTAAGGTTGATATTATTAATTGAATATTAATGTACTTAAGCTAACGCTGATGTAAACAGTAAACAGGTGGTGCATGCATCTGACTTGATTCTTGATTGAAATGAAATTAGCTCATCACATTATGTAAATATATTCTACCAATAGAAAAAGCTTACCCATTGAAAGATTTCGTTCGTCAGAACAGATAATGAGGAAGGGTGGGAGTGAAGGAGAATGGGAGTTAGAGAAAGAGAGAGAGAGAGAGAGAGAGAGAGAGAGAGAGAGAGAGAGAGAATATGTTAACTTATGTTAATTGGCTTAGAAAATGGAATGTATATTTTTGATAGAGCACTAAACACTTAATTCTTATATTGGTTTCTTTTACAGCTATGTATTGTAGTACATAAATGAATTTCTTCCGTATACTAAATACAATTAGCTAACGTAATCTCTCGGCTTTCCAAATAATTCAGATATATATATAAATATATAAGTTAAATACTTTATTATTCTAAACAATAAGTATAGGCTTCAATTATATATCTTTATAAAATTATTTTTTTTTCTTTAATAATTTATAAGCGTAAAATTAAGTTTTACAAATTTATATGCAAAAAATTAGTGTAAAATATTTATATAAGAATGAATTACTAAAAGATCTTAAGTATAATGGCTATTTCATTCTGGTTTTGCCATGTACAGATAAAAAAGTCGTAAAGTGTCGATAAATAAAATAATTTTGAAAAACATTCAGGTTCAAGAAGCGAGACATTAAAAATCGACCTTGTCTAAAAAATGCAGGTTTTCTGGCGACGAGTACATTAAAATTCATCCTGCTAAAGTTAAGATTTCGAGAGTGGTACATATAATTCATCTAATCGGTCGAAGACACAATCCAGCACTCATTTAAGAGTGCGAACAGGAAGTCAATAATATGTTAAGTATGTGTTGTTGTATAGCTCTCGTTTTCCCCTTCTTTTTCCTTTTCTCTTTTTCGTTTACTCTTTAAACTTTCTATCTTTTTACTCCATCTATCTTTGTTTGACTATTTTTATTCTTTATATTAATCATCAATTTCAATTTTGAGTCCTATAATAATTATAATCATTAATTTGAAGATGATTTTGCATCTATAATTATAAAACCTGCATATGTATTGTAATTTAACGTTTTAGATCTTTAATTTTATATGTAATAGTTGATATTTTTATTAACTTACACTCAATCAATTTAATATAACATATTTTAAATTTCAGTTGGTATTCTTATATAATTTGCTTTTTCATATAATTTTGTCCTAATTCTCATAATATGCAGCTGAATCTCTTAAAAACTCACAGATTCTTTTGAAACAGTTTGTATATTTTTTATTTTATTGTTATTATTGTCTATTTCTGCAATAGAAAAATATATAGAATAATTTAATATTTAATATTATTGTGATGTAATAACTTATTTATACAGTAAATATATATATATACAATTTTATAAATAAATTACATAATTTTACCAGCTACTTAAATCTTTACGTAAAATTAAACCATCACTAAAGTAATTTTATAAATATTATCTAAAATATTAAAAAGATTTAAGTGAATTAAAAAATATTTTATATAAATTTTAATTATAAAATTGCTTTTTAGAAATTTATTTAATTGGCATAATATATTCTTTTATCAAATATTTTTTATCAAATAAAAATTAACAATAATTTTTAATTTCCACCAATACATTGTACTGAGCAATTACATTATTTGTATTCAATTTTTCAGTATGTATATATATCGTGAGAGAAAAAGAGAGAGAGATAGAAATATGATAAAAGTTGTACATTGGACGATTCTCAGCATGATTTTGCTACCTTGAAAATTTTTAGTGAGGTGAATAGCATATAAGAATTGCCTTGAAGAGAGTTTCAAATTTTCGAATTAATAGAGGACAAGGCACGTACATTACCCAAGTTCTGATAGTGTCAGGATATTATTGTCTCTGTCCTACAACCTACTCCAACAGCTCCCAGAATCTAATACTCGTTCAACGACTTTATAAAAAAAAAATACAACTGCAGAGAGACTACAGACAAAAATGCAGACATAACTGTAGGAGAACATATGAATCAGAATTTAACGAAGCTGAGATTTTAGTATAATCCTATTTATAAGTTAATTGTAACAAAATTATTCCGTTAATTTTTTGATAATTTAAGATTTTCAATATTTAAAAGCATAAGCCAATATATGAAATAGCTCTGGAAAAATCTTGTAAGAAGAAAAAAATCACTAACTCGAACAGCGTACATTTTATAACAGAAACATAGTTAATTTGAATTTGAATAAAAAATTTGTATAAATTCTAAATTTTTTGCTATTAAATGGCGGTTTATTTCTAACAGATGCTATTATTCTTTTAAAACAAGCAATTGACGTATTTTATAAAAGATTTATATTAATTTACATTATTTTCAAACTGTGGAAAAAAAACTTATCTTATAGCATAATGACACTAATGTAAACATTTACTTAATTATTTATAGTTATGTACATAAACATTTACAATTTCCAAATTTATAAATAATATAATAATCTAATAATTCCTTATTCAGATTTCTCATTGAATATAAAAATTGACAAGAAAGAAAGTATCAAATCAATTCAGGAATATAACCATTAAATCTTCACATACATGTGTGAAATATAATCAAGGAATTGGGCAAGTAGGTGTATCGGATTTTTCAAATGTTACATTTATCAAAATATGATTCTAATGACTTCACAAAAATTGTATTTAAAAAGCTAACAGTATCACTATTAGAAGTGATTCTTTATAACAAACCTGTTACATATAAAAAGAAGAAATTGTAGAAACAAAAATAAAGTGTGAAATATTTAAATATATAATATATAAATAGTAAAAAATGTATACGTATTCATGATAAAATCCAGAGAAATTGAAAATAAATATTAAATATTTGTGTCTCATATTCATTATAATAAAATATATTGAAATTGCAAATTACATGTTAATTTGGTATATTTCACCAATTTTATAGTTTGATTTTATTTATTTTGTAGTTCAAAATTATTCAATATTTATTTGAGTTTGTTAATTTTATAATGTATTTAGAATCTTTATTTACTTTTTTTATACTCATTTTTTTATATTAATCGTTTTTAACATCTTTTGAATCTAATTTCTAGGACAAATCATTTTATCGATATATTTCATATATTTCAAAATATAAATTTTTTTAAATTTTCAAATAGCTAGTTTTTGTATTAAATAGGATCATTGAGATTTTATTTTATGTAATGTACTAATGTAAAAAAGATTTTCATGTATTTTTATTTATTATAATCGGTAATATTAAGTATTTTTTCAATTATTAATATAATATTAATAATATTCTATTATAAAGAATAAAAATTATTAAGTTGGGATAAAAAAGAATTTTATATCTTTAGTAATGATTTTTTTTTATGATTTTAATCATGTAAACTTTCTTTTTTCAGGAAACATTAAAATAAAAATGGAAAATAGAAAAAAAGGTCGAGGAGGAGTTAGAGACTAAAGGCGTTGTAGAAAAATATATAGCCTGTGTAATTTAAGTTTAGTTTACGTACGCATATCGCAAGTTATAGAACTTTTCTTATAGCTGTAAAACTCGATCTTAATAACATCAATGAAATCATTGAAGTTAAAAAAAAAACTTTTTGCAAATCAATGTAAAAAGGCATTTATGTATACTTATTTTTGTGTTTGAATGTGAAATTATTATTTTATAACAAAAATATTTTTAATATATAACAATAATTCTATGCCGAAATAAATTAATAACGATACCAACACGACGGGTACAAATTACTTATAATGAAATCTTATAATGAAGATTGTTAATTGATTTTAAAAAATTTATTAATGAAAGTAATTACATTTAAAGATATTAACAATATACGATTATTTTGACACTATACAGTACTCACGAAACTTGTTATATAGTACAATATAGTTAAATATTATATAATAAATGATAAGATAAAATAGACTATTAAATCATAAATAAAATAAATATATTATTTTATAATAATTTAAATATTTTAAATGATTATTATTTTAAACATTTTATAAAAATTTAAATGTTTTATAGAGATGTTTAATAACAATTTAAATACAATGATGCTTTACAAGTTTTATTAAAATATTAACACTTAATTTATAAAATTCATTTTTTATTACATAATTTGTTTGTTTGCTTTACATAATTGGGCAGTTCACAAAATAAAAATAGAAAAAAAATATCACAAGTAAAAGAGAAAAGCGACGTGTTACAATATTAAAAAAATCTATTCATCGAAATCCTTGACATAATAAACTTGCACATTAAATACACTTCAGCTCTTTCATGCTATTCACTGAATTTTAATCTTTAAAGTCAAGTGCTCAGTATATATTTAAATATACTAACCACTGATAGGTTCATTTATTATGTTATCAAATTAACCTCATAAATACACATTGCAAGTAGTCGTAAGAATATACCACAAAAATTGTGTGATAGCATATTAAGCCAAAAAACGCAATTTAAAATGCATAAAATGTATAAGTATTATTAGTAGCAAGTTAAGTGCAAATATTCTTTATTTATTTTTTTTTGTTTATATATAACTTTTTAAAGTTGATTGTGTAATACTTAAATATTTCAATATTTCATTAACAGTTTAAATTATTTCCTTTTAAACCTTTGTCATTCATTTATGTATTTATTTCTATTATAAAAACACAAATTATGATATCTTCACTATTTTTTTGCTCACTTCATATGATGTAAAAATAAGGTATATGTGCATTTCCAACCAAACTTCTTTCGCAATAGACATGATGATTATGATCAATTAGATTGTTCTCAAGCTAATTGTATACAAGATTACAAAAATCTAATTTAAAAAGCATGGTAGAATGAATTTGTGAAAGAATTTCTTTATAAATATGAATACAAACTATTCAAAACCACTGTAATAATTATTATTTTATATGGATATTAAATATTTCACTTAAAATCAATATAATATAACCGTTGATTATTATTTAATGTATAACAGAAAATCAAACTGTCTTGTTGATGACTGCGATTCTACTATTAAAGAACTATTTATTACTGTCTATAACATTAAATTATTGGTAGCTTAATACGAATAAATTTAATTTAAAAAATTATAATTCAATTAAATATAAAATTAATACAATTTCTAGATAGCATCACTAATATACACATTTATTATAAAATAAATAGATCAGACAATTAAAAATTTGAATGGGTGAGTAGATTTTTCTATCTTAATCATTTATTCATTATAAATCATAATTATGTACATGCGTTTAAATTAATTTGATAAAAAATGAGATATTATCGATTGTCGTTGCTTATTTAACTATATTATCTGCTTAAATAAGAATTAAATAAGAATGAGGTAAATAATTATAATTTTGTAGTAAATATATAGATTTGTTATTGTACTATAAATATAGATCATATACATAGTAAATGATTTATAATTATATATAATAAATATAATTAATTAAATTACAATTAAGACAATTTTAATTAAAATTTATTGGATCAAATATATTTACCGTTGTTTTTAAATAAAAATGTAATTAATTATATTTGAAATACTATTTATATAATCTATGTACTTTAAATGTAAATAAAATGATATTATAGAAAAGAATATTTTGATTAAATGATAATATTATTCAAATGAAAGAAAAAATTGATCAGGTTCAAATATTGTAAGGCATAAGTATATCTTTTTATTTAATTAATGGACCGAGATCTATATCTAATTCCTTATATAATTTTTATTTAAATAATAATTATCGAGGACTAATGTTTAATAGACTAGTGTAAAATTGATTCGCTATTAATGAGATATTTTTTGTTCTATTGAAAATGATTTAATTATTATATTTCATAATCCTTAACTCAAAATGTAATAGTTATTTATACCTAATATTAAGTGTTTTGATAGTTATTACCTTTTAATTGTTTTTGAAGTTTGAAAGGCTGATTTACTAAATAACTCGATGCAATATATTTTTATTCTTATTAATAAAACGTAACTAGAAAATATTTAAAACTTAGTAACACTTTTTAATACTGTACTTTTATAAATTGTTTAATATTTTATGAAAATGTAGATAATTAAAACACAAACATTGAATTATTTAAAATTTACTCTTAAAATAATATAGGAGATTAAATACGAGTAACGGTAAAAAGTGACTTAAATTTAAACATATTTTGAAAGTGTTAGAAATAAAGCAGATATGTGAGGGTTTTCCATAAAAATATAATCAAGTAAAGAGAAAGATAAGATAGTAAGAGAAGAACTTAAAAATGCGATGTTTTGAGTATATCGATCATGAGTAAATGCCAAGTATATATATGTACAAAGGAGGCTCGTGGTACAACGGTATGAATCGTGGTACTATAAAAGATCATTAACACAGCAAGGTCGGTGAAAGGAATGGCTCGAATTCTCCCTTCGACCCCGGTGCTCGGTCAAAAACATTTTGTTCATCAGTAAATTCATTGGAACAGCTTGTTTTGCTATGAAAACTAATGCATCATAGTAACAAAATTTTAATAATGTAAGATAGATTTTTTCTCCTACAATACTATATTATAATGAATACTCAGAGCATTTAGTTTATAACGAATTTAAATAAATAAATATATATATTATCAAATAAAATACTTTTAAGAACATGAAAGCATATTAAATTATAAAATAATTTTGATTGATTTTGGAAACTAATGGAGTTACCAATTATTTCTCTATATGTAATAAAATTCATATTTCTAGTAAGATAAATGATACTTTTTAGCTAACTCTCTACTTTAATGCTTTAACTATTTCATAGATTGAATACTATGAAATAAATACTAATGATATATACAATTTTTAACAAATATAGAAATTTTTTTCCATTTGCTAATACTTTATTGAAGATAACTGTATTTTTTTTATTTTAATTTCAAATGCTAATATATTCAATTAATAAATTTATTTATACCATAGAGAATTCTAAGAAATTATAAGCAGAAATGTCGTTTCTGCTTCCTATTTTTTTCTCTAATTGTATTAATATTAATAACAAAAAATATTGTGAATTTTTCAAACTGTAATTTGAAATGTTAATAGCCTTTTTAATAATCTGACAAAAATTTGTTTAGAATTTTAATATTTGAATTATAATATTTAATTAATAACTGAATTTGCATAAGAAAACTGAAAAATATTTAGTACAATCGTATATATAAAAAGCTATCATTAAACATAATATCATAAAAAATCGTATACATAAAAATTTCTACTTCTTTTTGTTACGTTTCTCTATTATATTGAATAATTTTTAGCATTTCTTTGTTATAAAATAAATTAGTAAAATATTTATAATCATTACAAATTGTAATTTTAGTAATATGAAACAGTATTTCAAATTAATAAATAAATCATAGAGAAAAAATATTTCCTATTCTAAGATATTTTGTATTAAGTAAATATATTAGTAGTAGTCAAAGAAACTTAAATCTAAAATTGTTACAAACTATGTTCTTAGTATGTTGAAAGTCCCGGTTTTATGATTTATATGTAATTTTAATTTCCGTATAATTTATATTATTATTTTCTCATAAATAAGTTGTGATATGACTGTCAATATAATATAAAAATTTAAGATAACAATAAATTTGTCTTTAAAATATGTTTTTTTATTATTGTAATTAAGGGATAGGTATACTTAAAGCGAATAATTAAAAATTTAATAATTCATTTACCACTTTCATTCCAATTTCATTTGTAGAAATTAATAAAAAATGTTCTAACATACACTAAAGTAACATGTAGAACAAAAACTAAACTAAGATATAGCTTATATAAATTTAATACTAAAATTTTTGACTAATAAAAATTTTGTAGATTGCATTTATGATAACGGAGAAAAGTACATATATATAAAAAGTGAAGTAAATGTATCAGAAAATATAAAAAATGTGACATAAATAATAAAGAGAAAGAATAAAAGTAATGTATTGACATATATAAATTTATTGTTTAGACTGAAAAATAAATAGTAACATAATATTGCAAACATGTTATAATAATACAAAATTATTCACTTCCAGAGAATTAAATATGACAATTTGTCCGTTTTTCAACCTGTTTTGTACAAGTTTTTCTATTAAAAAATAATTGTCTAAATTAATAACAAAGAAGTATACTTATATTTAAAAAGAAATAAGTTGAAACTTTCGAAAAAAAAATATTATCGTTAATAAAGTAATATTTATACTCGTTGAATTAAAAAAAAAGTTATATTATACTATGAGTATGAGAAGATTTGAACTTACTGACTATATTGATGTAGGAACTAAATGTTGAAAAATTGAGATGAATTTTTAAACAGTTTTACGAATTTTTAATGAAGTAAACACAAAAAATTCATGTATATGGTTTTTAAAAAAGAAATTGTTAATAACAACCTATTATAAAAAATTTTACTTAATGCTTAGCAAAACAATATTTCATGAATACTTTAAATTCTTATGTTAATGTAGTCAATGAATGATATATATATGTCAATAAACTCAACTTATAGTATTTTAATAAAAAAGAGATAGCTTTTAAACCTATGCTATAATTTGGCTTAAACAAACAAAAAATTCATAACATTAATTAAAAGTTAAAATAATAAAAAATTAAATATTACCAAGTACAATATGGTTTATTATTCAGAAAAGTCTAAATTTTGCAATTATTGATATAAATATACATAGACTATAATTACTTATTTTAAATAAATTTATCTTTATAATAAAATAAATTAAAAAACGATTTCATATATAACATATATAAAGAAAGAATATACTCAATTTCATATTGAGCGTGTTAATAATGAAGGGCTTTCAAACTTTTTAAAATAGTGTTTTTATAAAATACACGAAACTATAAAAGTAAATTAGCAAAGTTGAATTTAAAAAATGGATGTTCAATTCAAAAACATTCAATATTTTAAACATATTCTAAAAAAATTATGAAATTACGTCACGCAATAGTTAAAATTATAAAATTATTATATAACAATATATAATTATATACAAATTTAACTAATAAGAAATAGATTTGTTAGAAGTATTTAATTTTGTTTTAATAAATATTATTGAAAACATTCAATATATTATCATAAATAATATTAAGAGATTCTCTGAAATTCACTGAATAAATGTAATAGGAATCTATTTTCCTAGCAATAAAAATATTTATATTCATAATAATTGATAATAAATAATAATCAATAAACCAGTCATTGCATATCCAAAAAACATCCAAGATAATCCGAATTACGTTTCCATGTGAAGAAAAAAAATTAGGCAAATTTATGATTCATTATCGGTATTGAAAGAAAGTACACTAATTTCAATTCGTTTCAATAAATAATTCATAGAAATACCAAAATAACTGATATATAGAATATCAAAAAAACTTACAAAAAATGTCTTGGTTAATCACAACACGGTTAAAAACAAATGCAACAAATAAAATATAAAACTATTGTTGCCTATGTATTAACGAACAATGTATATTTCAACGCACGGCTCTATTTCTGATTGGGAATTATACTTTAATCTCTTGTCAGTTTATAATTTGAATCTATTTCTTACATATGTCATTTATACATTAGCATAAGAACTTTATATAAGACAATTTTATAATATGTAAAATATAAAAAGCAAATTATAGTCATATATTTACATGTAGTAATGTAACAACATTTGAAAAACTTTCGATATTTTAAGTTACATAACTTTTTTTACAAATACTAAAATATTTTGTAATCAATTTTTATTTTAAAATTTTATTTATAAAAAACGAATTATTTAATAAAAACTAATCTTTAATATATTTATTAAGTGAAATAATATTTTATTCTAAATAATTAAAAAATAAATCTCTCGAAAGTACTTATAGTATAAATATAAAATACTTATATTGATAAAAACTAAAATTAGTAGTCATTACAAGAAATTATAAATCTTTTCATTTAGTTAACATTTAAAAAATATTGTTATCATCAAATTATCATATTTAATGATATTATATATATACAGAATAATTTATGAAAATTAATACCAAGAGAAAGAATAAAGATATAACAAACTATTAAAGTATAAAAGTATATTTCAACAATAATTTTTTTTCAAAATTATTTAATTAAAATCATTCTATATATAATTTAATCCAACCGAATTATATTACATAAAAACTAATTAGAATATACTTATATCTTTAAAAATCTCTTATAATATATATTTCATTAAATTAATTTAAATTACAGAAATCAAAACGAATTTTAGATATTAAATAAATTTATTTTAAATTAAATTTTATTTTCCTTTGTTATACTATAATCATTATATAATTTATTGCACACTTCTTTCTATGTGATTTAGTGATTTGATAAGTATAATATTATTTCAAAATTGAATGAAGGACTCAGATCACCTAATAGTAAAATATAATATAATAAATATGTATAATAAATATAATAAAGATGATAACGAAGGATGTTGATTTACTTTACTTTATTTTGACAGACAATATAGAAAAATGTAGCAGCGATGGAGTTTTGCAAACCAGTTCAGCTAGCAGCACAAACAGTTTAAGTATAAGTCAAGCCGATCAGCAGCTCACAGGTCAACTAAGCCACATAACCGAACAAGAGCAGCAACAGGGAGTGCAGTTAGTATCACCTACGAGTGCATTATCAACGGGCGAAAAGGAACAAATGGGTATCTCAACAGATGATGTAAGAACTGATGAAGAAAATGCACATCCAAGGGCCGCTGCAACTAGTCCCGAGAGCGAAACTGACGTCGATGACTTCACTCCTAAGCGGAAACAGCGTAGATATCGAACAACCTTCACAAGTTTTCAGCTTGAAGAACTCGAAAAAGCCTTTTCCAGAACTCACTATCCCGATGTTTTTACAAGGTAAACTCGTTTCGAAAATTTCTAAGTGTGTGCTTTTTTACAACTTATTACTAAAATAGTTATAATTCTGATTATATTTATATTACTAATTATAAATATATAATTTAAATTTAAAAAATTAATATTTTTATTACCCTATATTGGCTTGAATGATATTTAAAATATAATTAAATGAAAAGCATCCTAATATTTTATTGCAAACTTGCCTTCGAATAAAATTCATGAAAAAATTCATCAATGAAAGTATTTAAATATAATTTGCCATATCAATGTAACAATATTTGTTCGAGTATAAAATATTTACCTAAAATTTGAAACTACCAAATATCCTATTATATTAAACATAATAAATTTTAGTATTTCAAAATGATTTGTTATTAAAATTCATGCAAACATCATTAAAAAAAAATTGTTTATAGTGTTTATTTTTAGAAATAATAATCGCTTTGTTTTGTTATTTAATTTATTATCCAGCTAGCTAATAATAATAAAATTCGAATATTAATTAATTATTTTATTAGATCAACAATATATTCTAATAAATATTTTTAAAATGTGTAATTTAATAAATCAGTTAACAAATTTAATTTCTTTACTTTTTTTAATCTAACTTCATTCAAATTATTTTACATGAATTCTATTAATTAAGCGTTCTTAAGATATATTACAAGCAAAATAAACTAGTATTCACATAACATTTTGATGTTTTTATACTTTAAATTAAATGTTATTATTTAATTATTTAAACCTATAAATATTATTTAAAGTATAAGTATTATTTGTTAAAGCTTATTTGTTATCAAATTTAAAATTATCTTGCAGTGTATTCATAAAAATTAAAACAATTAAAAAAAAGTTATAAAAATATTGGAAATATTTATATTATATTCAATAATGTATAACTAAAACCAAAATATTATACATGTATATTATTTTCTATTTTAAAAATACTCATTATTATTATTATATTATTATAAATATGTAGTTTTATTTTTACTTCTTACTAGTTTTTAACGATATATTATTGATTTTTAAATAATCTTTATCTATATAATCTTCCAAATTGTATCCTTTTTAATATCTATAAATCAGAGTTATATAAAAGCAATATATTAAGACTCTTTATATTTTAATTATAGAAAGCTCATTATATTATTAAATCATTAAAAATATATAATAGAATGATACTTCATTTACATTTCATTTATAAATATACCAATTTTAACGATAAATCATTAAAGTGAAAGAATTTTTTTAATATTAATACATGAATATAATTAATTAGAATTTATCAATATACTTACGTAAATAAACAAATAACTAATTTAATAGTAAGACTAAAAAATATTTTAAAAATATAACACATACGTATATATATACATATACAAGTTGTATAAAAAAATTAATTTATAAAAAAATACACGAATAAACAGATTTAAATGGTTTTTTTTATAAAATAACATAAAGAATTACACTACATCAATTATTTTTTATATGCATAACTAATAAAAATTCTAAAATAAAAACTTGCGTTCATTTATTATTTATAACATTATAATAATCTTTTGTCTATAGTTTTCTAATTTTTATTTTTTAATACAATAAATACGGCATTAATAATATCGATCGAAAAATATGACACATACACGGATATCACAAGTCATCTGAACCTCTCTGATTATTTTCTCTTTTTAAGTAGAGATACATTCCAGTATTAATTTTTATATTTTATAGTTCTTTCGGTTTATTCACTTTTTGTTTATTTTATACTTTTTTCGGTTTACATACTTCATTGTTGGATACAATTTTTTAATTTGACAAAAAGCTTTGCTTGAATTAATTCAAATATTTAAAAAAAAGTTTTTATTGAAAACGACAATAATTTTGTCTTGGAATTAAAATTGCAAACTACTTTAATAATGAAAAATAAAAAATAAAAATATCGATTTGGATAATTATAAGTATATCAATATTTAATTATTTGTCTACAACTCATCTATTTAAAGTATTCCTAAAAATTAATCAAATAATAAATACCTAATATAATATTATATTTAATAATAATTAAATTTATTTAATAATATTAAATTTAATAATAATTAAATTTATTTAATAATATTAAATTTAATAATAACAATTCATTTGATTACTCTAATAATATGTATATTTACATTAATGAGTAACTTATTCTCATACAAATAATTTGTAAAATCTTTCACATTAATGAAATAAGAACTTAAAACTTATTAAAATATACATTAATTAAATTTAAGCGTGTTGTAGAAAACAAAAAAACTTTATACGGAAACATATACATACGTGAATACATATATGCTCAAGTCATAAAAAGAAATATAAGAAGTCATATCATTAATTGTGTATTATTTCAATTTACATATATATATATATATATATATATATATATATATACATAATTATTTTGAAAATTTATATATATATATATATATATATATATTTATTAATAATTATAATTTAGTAAAAATATTCAAAATTTTATATTCTCATTTTATCATCTATTAATTTTTAATTGTTTTGACTTTTAACTATGCAACTTCGATTATAAATAAATTTTAATATTTACTACTAATATAAATAAAATATTGCTGCTGATCTGCTAATGTACGCCGTTGTTATAGTTATGTTTAACAATCAAAATACCACATAAGTTATTATTTTCATACAGATTATTAAATTAAATAGGTATAAGAATACAGATTATAATGTTTAACAAACAAGCTCTTAAGACCATATCTCTTAAGATATATATACAAAGATAGATTGATTATTGATAATATAATGAGTTTCTAAGTCCTAGTTCGAATAAGTCACATCTGGAAGTCGAACTGAATGAAGTCGACTATCAATTTTGTAATAGCCGTATATCGTAATGATATTGTGTAAAGAAACGAAAAATTTATAAAAAAAAATATGCAATACTCTATAATTTAATTAATTACTTATTTATAAAAAATGCCATTTTTAAATTACAATTCATTTTTCCATTATTTACTGCTACGTATACTCAATAACCGTTGTTTTCTACTTTGTACATTTAATTTTTCTTTTTGATTATTCATTTATTAATATATTTTATTTTCTATTATGTATTCGAAAAAAGAAAATAAAATAATTTAGAAACCTTTTATATTAAATAATTGTCCATTATTTTTAGAAAATTTATTATTTAATGATAAAGAAATAAAAAATTTTCTGATTTAAAAATATTTAAAAAAAATATAAGATCAACATAGACATTAATTTTTTACAAAATTGTACTTATAATTTATATTATAAATTATTATAATTTATTTACTCTGGTATTTGTAATTAATACGCATGCTTAATAATTATGAGATTATAACTATTATTTCTAACTATTATTTTATATATTACAAATAATTATATAAGCAATCAATATTTTCAGTGCATAAAAATAAAAATTTGATTGTATTGACTGATATCTGAAAATTATTTATAATAATCTTGCTTAATAATGTTATAATGTTGTTATAATAATATTATAATTAATGTAATATTAATTGTAAATATTGTATAGTAATTGTATTGTAAAAATTGTAAAAATAAAGATTACATGAAAATTTCATTTCAAATTTTTTTTTTGATCTTTAAGATTTATACATATATAAATTATTAATAATATTGATGTAATAATATGTATATTTATTCTTCTTTATTACGTAATTTCTCATTCAATTTTATGATTCGTAACGTATATTACACTTAAGTATTTATGTTAATTATTTATCATTTCAACATTTGTTTCTAATTATGAATGTAAAATGCTCAAATTTATACTTTATTATAATCCTTGAACTTATGCTATAATTACTAATGTTATATAAGTATAATTCCTTATGTTACATCTAAAATCATGACAAAACAAATCAACTAATTTTAATTAATAGTAAAATAAATTTGTCATGGCAAAAATTTTATATTACAAATTATTTTAGTTGTTATAAATTCATAAATATATTTATTTAAATGTTCATGAAATTAGTCTGCACTGTGAAAATATAACATTATAAACAATAAAACTTATATATCAAAAATATTCTAACATTGTCGAATATTCTAATTGTTATAATTAAGTTGTGAATATATAATTTGTGCAATATAAGTTTTATTATGTATTATGTAGTACACATATCATGTACTGATAAAATAAAATGTACTGATGTTAAATGAAATTAATTCAAATTATGTGAAATTAATCGTTTCAAATTAAAAATTTTTAGAAAACATTTTCTAACTGTAATATGGGAAATTTTTAAGTCTACATATTTTACGATGGAACTTCAACAATTAATATTTTAATAAACTCAATAAAATCGCTTTTGTGCAGGCGGTAATCATTATGATTTACTTATAATTTGATAAACATCTTCAGTAATTTCTCAAGAAATCAGTAGTTCATTAGAGAATATAAAATATAAAAATTAATGATCTTAAAATATACTTATTATTTTAAAAAATTAAAAATGGACTCGTGTGATAATTTTTATTTATCTATTTACAAATATTCAATTAGAATCATTATTTAATTAAATATTGTAAATAATTAGTAGTATATAAGAAAAAATAAAAATATATTTTTTTAATTTTAGATAAATAATTTAATGTTTTAATAACTTATTAAGTTATTTCATTAGAAATCCTTTTTTAATATTAGAATTATAGATTACGAAAATTGGATTCTAAGTAAACTATACAAATAAAATTGAATTTATAAAACTATCAAATTGAAATTAATTACTTAGTAAATTCGTATATATATTGAAATGAGTATAGTACAATAAGATAATTATCATAGTGCTCTCTTAAAATGTAGTATATAATGGCTTTTTATCAAAGAAAATTGTATCGATTTTTATTTTTACTACTATTTTTAAATTTCTTACAATAATAATACCTATATATAGTCCTTTTTCTTCATTGTATAAAAAATTATTTACTAATTATAATTGTGTATATATCATTTTATTTCATTGAGAATTTATCGAAGATCGATAAAATCAAAAATATTCAAAGCATTTTCTTGACACTTATTAATAGATAACAAGAAATATTCATCTAACATTTTTATTATATTTCAGAGAGGAACTTGCTATGAAAATTGGTCTCACAGAAGCTCGAATACAGGTTTGTTAATGATTTTTGTAATACAATACTTTGTAGTATTGTTAACCTTATACATGTAAATTAAAATTAAATACTTTATATATATATATATATATATAAGATTATGAATAACAGGTAAAAAGTACCTGCAAACATTAACAGAAACGTGAGAAACAAACGTTAACCGCTATTCTAGTTACATTAAAGTTTCATGATTCATGGATTTATGGGATTTTAAAGTAAAACATTATTCTATATTGTCTTTTTCTTCTTATTTTCAATAAAGATATGAATATTAAAAAGTTCGTGACGAGATTCGTTCAGAAAATACTAAGAGTTAATTTAGAAAATACTAAGAGTTAATTGGCATCTGTTTACTTTTTATATGCATTCATATATATAGAAAATACTAATAGAAAATACTAATATGTTACAGGCATCTGTTTACTTTTTATATGCATTCATATATACAAAGATGTCACAAATAATAGTTTTGTGCAGAATAAAAACAGTATGAAAGTAAAGCATTCAATGCATAAAATACATTAAATATTTTTTCGTCCTTAATATATTACTTTAACAAATAATTGATTAAATTAATTGATTAATTATTTATTTATTATGAGTATTTTAAATTTACCCTCTGTTTGGCACATTTTGAAAGGATTGTTCACTTTCCTTTCCTTTAAATTTAACTCAAGTTCTAGGTTTGAAAGATTCATTCCTTTATTGCATACCATGCTTCTTTCTGTTTCGTATCTTCATCCGTTTACTTATTGCCAACAAAAAGAAATTTTTTTCTATCATTAACCATGAAGTCTTAGTATTTTGATCATTTACTTGCATTTCTTTTAAGTTTCAATTATTCTGATTTAATATACCTTGTTTATAACAATTATGCTCTTCTGTGTTTTTTCCTATTTTTAAATGTGTTTTCACGCCTAACATATTTTAATCAATGAATTAGTAATCTACAAAATATGTAGGTAATAATAATAAAATATCCTGGTAATAATATTAAATTCATATTTCATTCAATATGCATAAGAATATTGTATTTTAATCTTTATTCTCTATTTGTTACAGAATAATAAAATTATTAACTATTATTGTTTTAATATTAATTTTAAATAATGAATATTTAAATATTATTTATAAAAATATCACTGTCTCATCAATATATTTATTTTATGATTTTTTTAAGATAAAGATTTAAGACAAAAACTTTGTAAACAATTAAAAAATTATAAATTTCTTGAAATCTCATAATTCATACCTTCAATAAATATATGAATCATACTATATTCGTATAAACTAAATTATAAAAATCATTTTGCAACTTTTTACAATACAATATTGTAATATATTCTATATATTACAATATGTAATATATTCTAATTGTAATATTCTAAATCTTAAAGACAGATAAAATAAAAAAGATGCAATCAAAATATTGTAAAGCATTTCATTGTTAATTATACACTGACAATTTGCACTTTTCATTGATGAGGAATATCATGGCTTATAAATTTCTGCTGTTCAGTAGTTTCGCAATTTGAATTTCGTCTCATTTCACAAAAACGCAAATCTCGTTCAAACTGTAACGAGTGCATGAAATATTAGATACTATATTTTGTGTAGTTCTATAAACATATTATAATACAGACAAATTGAGCCCCTTAATCATGTCTTCAATTCGCAATTAATTTTATTCTTATACTCACTGTATGCTTTATAAGCTTTTTTTACTGTTTTTTTATTAAAAATGCGTATAAGATAATCTAAATATGAACAAAAGAAATTAAATTTTTTATATATATTCATCTAAATTAAAAAATATTAAATATTATAAAGAATATACATTAAAAAGTTATTTTTTGAATTATTAAAAGCTTCAACGAAATAAAAAAAATACTAATGTATTTTAAACGACTTTGAAATTCACAAAAAAAACAACTCCATATATATTATTGTATTATTTACAAATAAAAAGAATTATATAAAAATAATATTACTTTTATAAAACTAAAACATTCAACTAAAATAAGTTAATGACTTTAATTATCTAACGAAATGAATCCAAAACAAAAATTAATTTTTGAGACTATTTTATATCTATAATTAATTATTATAATACTAAAATCAGTTAACAATTAACAAAACATTAGTTTATTACAAAAATTAAAGAATACTCACAGTAAAATTGCATTATTTGGAAAAATTGAGACACTTTCAGTAACCATATATATTTTTGACTCGACAAAACTTCTATAAAAAATTTTTAGCAAAAATCAATATCATTTCTTGACCTATAATGGTATGCGTTTGTAGAGCGAAGTGTTTCACTAAAAATCATAATTGAACAGATCTAAGATATTTTTCCTTGCTTAAATCAATAATTATCTAGTGTTTTTGTCTTTAAAATACTAGCAAGAAACAGCAATTATCAAATGAGAACAAATACATGCGAAGTTACAGTGCAAAGTTGTCGATTTTCGGGAAATGAAGAAAAAATTGGCTTCATTTCGTACGTGTCGTTCATTCCACCACTGAAATACTACAGAGCCTACTACCAAGGAATAGTGGCGCACGCGATGTGTCGTATCCACACTTCTAAGAATCCAAACGAGACTTGTTTTCGAGCGGCTTACGATTTTTCAATGCCGACAAACGGACCAAAAGAGACTTTTGTTGTACAGCGAACTGAACCAGACCACCGTGTCCGCTGACTTTTTGTCTCTCAATCTCGCATTTCGAAAGATTTCAAGAATGAAAGACTCTAAATGTGTGCACAGCTAATAGGTTTAGAAAGACATTTGCAATGTATCGATTTACGAGAATTATATTTTAAAATTTGACCCAACTTTTTATAATTTATATTTCTTTTTTTAAGTTGCTTATTACTTCATTCTGAAGCTTTACTCTTTATTTAGTATAATAATAATTCGTAATTATATTTACTTAAAGAAAATTATCAAAATGATTATTTTAATGTTTTATTTCTGAAATTATTTTTTATATTTTCAATTAAGGTACATAGAGTCACATGTATATTATATATGTAAATATATTTTCTTTTCTTCTTAATAATAATTATTAATTAAAGAAAACATTTTTAAATTCAGTCCAAAGAACAATATTTCTATGAAGAGCTTAAAATAATTATTAAAACTATCAAATTTATAAATTGGCTTTATTTTTTATTCCATTAAAAAATCAATTACATCATTTTGTAAATTTTCAAATAAATTTTCAAACAAATTGGATTAAATAATCATTAAATTAATTATCATAAATAATATAAATAATTATAAAACTACAATTATTTTTACAATATAGTATTCAATATATTTATACAATAAAGTTTCACTGTGTGTAAACATGTATCAAATAATTAAAATAATATCCTGGCATCTCTAATATCCTAATAATATATTTTTAACATCAATTCTAACGATTTTAAATATATTTAATTTTCAATATAATTAACTATGTTGAACAAAATCATTTATTAAAAGTTTTGATTTAATTATGATAAATAATTAAAATAGTAATATTATATATATATATTCGAAAATAAATCTTCTTTATTTTTTGAAACACTTTGCTCATATTCTTTATAAACATAATAATTTATTTGAACATAATCTTTGCTTTATTTTATTAATCCCGTTTTGTATTTAATGAAATTTCAGGTCTAAATTTGCTTTGGTATTTTCTTGCAAAAGAGAAGGAAAAGAGGAAGGAAAGGAAGAAATGCGCAGTGTATATACATAAATATATAAGGAAAAAGGGCCTCAAATTTTACTTCCAATACATACATACAAAACCTTAAAAATATGATCCCCCATGGCGAATAAAATTGGCCTCAGCAGGGTGCTAAATATCACAGTGGTTTAAAACAAAACTCACAGATTTCAAAGTAGAAAAACCGTCATTTTTTATTTAACATGCCACATTAATTATTTAGGCGCTGGCGTTCCATCTGCATTATCGATCTGATTTGTATATGAGCTGCCTTTCCTGTACTTTAATAGCTTAAATATTTAACTTACAAGCTCTTCATTCTATAATCATTCGGTATCGTTTTCTTACTAATCAAGATATTTTCAATTTTTAAATCAAATCAACTAAATTTATTAAGTTATCTTGGCTCTTGATAAATATTATTTCATAATTTTTTTAATTCTCTAAAAAGGGAAAAGACGAAATATTAATTAATTAATCATTATTATAATTGGTTATTTATGTAAGGTATAGTACTGTAGTAAGGTGATCTGTTAATAGAAAGAGGTTTAAAATAAAACATTTTGCAAATAATACTAGTTTTTAAACAATTATTTTCTTATATTGTGTTAGTAAATTAAAGCAATTAAAACATCGTTAAAATTGTAATTAAATACCTATTATAGCCATATGTTATAATGTTAACTATATTATATTAAAATATCTTACCAACTATTATTTAAATAAAAAATATTAAATCAAAATAATTATTTATAATTTTATCTAAATAATATAATTAATAATATTTTAATTATTTTATGCATTAATTTTCATATTCAAAATATATGATACACACAACATTATAAGAATTTATTAAATTATGATATCATTATTTTATTTGTTATAATAAAGTCCTTGAAAATACAGAAATACGTATGAATTTTACCTTACAAACTTTTCCAATAAAATTTTAGCATAAATAATTTTCTTAATATAATTGTCTAAATAATTTTAAAACTTGGTTATTTTACTATTTTGTATATAATTTTGAGCATTTAATATAAGTTTTGTTTAAGCTTCAGGCCTTAATTTGTTTATTTAGTATTGTGAAAACAACGTATATGTTGAGCATTCTATATAATTATAACCGAAACTAACAACCATTACTACATTCGTGTAAGATTCAATAATAAATTTGTTTAATATCTAATAAAATAAAAATTGTATGATTAAGACATATATTAGAGTGATCGGTAACGAATTGAAAGTAAACAGTGAGCTAACTCGTATAATTCTTCTGCGCACCTATCAAAATATTTAATAAATCGTCATTAATTAAAGAAAATGAAATTATCGAAAATAATAGATTTTTTATTACAATTTGATTTGAAAAATTGCTGATTCTGCAATATGTTTCGATATTGTATTCAACTAGTGATTAATTTAATTAAATTACAATATGAAATCAAGTTTAGATATTTCATTTTTTTAGCGAAAATTTACTATATATTATAAAATTAATTTAATATACAACAATAAGATAAAAATATATTCAGTTGAATCTGTAGTAAGCAAAATATAAATAGATTTTTTATTTTATTCTCAACAATTCTACTTTCAGAGTATAATTTTCATTAGTCTGAAGTAAATAGAAAATTCTCTGATCTAAAGAAAAAAAGACACTATATACTTGAAAACTTATGTTGAAATGTTAATAACATATATTATACACTTGATTACGTATAGTCACGATGTAATCGATTACTACTACTACTAGTTTAGATCATGGTCGAATTGTCATATTTTGAGATCTTTATATTATTCTTCTTCACTTAGTTTTATCCGTTTCGATTTCTATTTTCTACTGCATTAATATATTTTTACTCTATCGCGCTCTTTTCTCTATCTGTTTATCTAGCTCTCTATCTCTCTCTCTCTCTCTCTCTCTCTCTCTCTCTCTCTCTCTAATTCTCTGTCTCCATCTCTCCATCTAATTTTCACTTAATCTAAGAATACAATGATTCCTATAAAATCAAAGCATGTTTGCACATTCATATATTTTTTATTTACCTAATTAAAAATAAATATATGAAATTATTTTATTGACAATAAAGGATATGATTTTATTTTTTTAATTTTTATTTTTGAAAACATTCACATAATTTATTTTATAATGTAAATTATCATCCGAAATTATTTATAAAAAATATATAATTTGTAGAAATATATATCATTTTATAATTGTGTATCGTCAGTATGAAAATTAAGTAAATGAATATTAATTTTATTTTTTTATTATTATATTGATATAAATATTTAGAAAATGTAGATTATAATTTTAATTTATGCGTGAAATTGAAAAATATACAATAATAAGAATAAGAATATACTTAATAAAAATAAATTTTATAATTTAATTATAATAATTCTATCATTATATGTATAAGATTCTAAATACTTTTATTATAAGGAAAATTTAAAATAACTATTGTAAAAAATTACATAACGAATAATTTTCGATGGTTTTAGGTTTGGTTCCAAAACAGACGAGCGAAATGGCGCAAACAAGAAAAGGTGGGTCCTCAAGGTCATCCATATAATACGTATTTAGGGTCAAGTACACCGACTACACCAACAGTAGTAGCACCGACGTTGCCCAATCCTTTTGCACACATAAGTAGCCTTGGAATACGTAAACCCTACGAAGCCTTTCGCTATCCGGCATTGAATCATGGACATGTCACCTTATCTGGCGGTTTCTCTGGGCATTCTTACCATCGTGTATCTTCGCATCTACTGACACCAGGAGCTCCACTACCTTATACTTCAGCCGTTTCTTTTCAGAATCTTCTTGCTAATATTTCTGCTTCTCAACGACCTAAATTCATGCGCAGTCCACCGGCCATCCTTGCACACACTCCCTCTCCTTCGACAGCGCCACCTCCAACCCCATCTGTACCTGGACCACCACCTGCACTAGGTCCTTCGCTACTTAGACCAAGTTCACCCCGAGATAGCTCACCAACAAGCAGTGGTCAAGTTAGAAATCAGGATGACTTACCTGAAGTTGATCGACGCACTAGTAGTATAGCCTCTTTACGACTTAAAGCACGTGAATATGAGCTACACCTTGAGATGCTACGGAAAAGTAGTGATCGAATTAGCTGAGAGCCGATTGCTCTATTTAAAATTGGCTATTAATCTCTCCTATTCACTAATGATGAATAATTAACTGTTCTAATGTTTCAAATTAAAAATACATTTTCAATCATTATAAAAGTTAATCATAATAATTAACATAAAATAACAAAACCAATATTAATTAGTATCAATTTATTTAAGAGTTTGATATTATAATTAGCTTTTATTTTATGACATTTATTTAAGTTAAAAAAATTATTACTTGAAGATTTATCTCATTTATTACGAAATTGAGTATTGCCAATATGACTTTTATCCATATGTAGTATGATACTTAACTATAAAAGTATCACATACAATACTAGGATAAATTATCATAATATCAAAATTATATATACATTGTTAAATTTTTTATTTATATTATAAACAAAATTTCCATAAAGCTTCCTCCGAAGTTAGTTTTATTAGTAATAACTATCTTTAGGATAATATCGAGATATATTGATCAAACAAAGCACAATTTAAGTATATAAGTGTATAGTTAGTGACTTAGAACTCATTATAAATAAAATATTTTAAAAATACTATATAAAAAATTTTATTTTTGAATATTATTTTTAATTACCTGAATATCCAGTATACTTTTCTATTATAATTTTACATCTAAAAACAAGAGTCGATTCCCATTTCTCTCATATCATAATATATTGAATATTATTATTAGTTATATAAATTTTATGAAAAGAACAAAATATAAATAAATTATGAAAAAGGAATATATTATGTTATTAATATATTTTGTAAATAATTACTTTCAACACATTCATTTTTTCATATTTTGATTTTTCTTTTCATTGATTTCTTAAAATAGGTATTTTTCTTTTTCGTTCTATTTGTTTAAAATTAATTTTTACTTCTAATTATCATGTAATATAGTGGAAAGATTGATATTATCTGATTAAAAACATATGTATTTATTATAATTATTATTTTATAAATAAATGATTATATTTAAAGATATTGCAATATAAAATTTTTATTACATTAACTATAATATAATTTTCCGAAAATGTTGAGTATAAAATATGATTTACTTCTATATAATAGATAAATGTATATACAAAAAATTAGTATATGAAATAGTAGATATAATTTAATAAATTGTATGATTTTTTATTATTTGAAATACATATGTACAATCCGAATTGTATAAATAAATTACATAAATATTAATTAATAAATATTTTTCTTACAGTAACATTTTCATCTTAGATATCCTTTGTATCACATATTAAATCAAACAACCAAACACAAAGATGTCAATAATCATCATATAAAATTAAAAACAAATTTTATTTATAACAATAATTATCTTTAAATTTCGTATTCTCATTTTATTCTCATTTCATTCGTATTCTCATTTTCACAATAAACAAAAGATTATTTATTTTATGATAAAAGGCTTGTTAATTTAATTTTATATTGTTTATTATTTAATTTTTTGTTTATTAATTTTTATATAATGGCTCAAATCTATTTTATTTAAACTTGTTAGCCACAAATTATGAACAAAATTATTAATAATCAATTGATATATTACAAATTGTATTACAAAGTAAATATAATTAAGACGATATTAAAAAACTTACAATAATAACATTTAAAGAAAAATAATTTGTTATATGTAATATTTAATAGATAAATGTTTTAGCAATTATTTTTCTATTATTTTGTATTGTATGCAATTGCAAATTTTAATAACAATATATTATAATTAAAAATTATGATCATAAACATATAATAATTATCAGTGACCTGTCACATTTTTTTCTTTATTTATTTAAGTACTCGAAAAGATTTGATAAATTATCTAAATGTTATAAATTATAATTATTCAGTATTATTAATCTGTTATTTATTTAAATGATTAAACTTTTTAAAAAAATAAGTTTTCTAATTAAATTTAGATTCTTATTTTGGAATATTTGATCACATTATAACCAATTTACAAAAATAAATTTTTTTTTTTTAATAAACAATATTTACATACATTTTACAGTATTATATACTATTATATACTCATCAAATTAAAAAGTTGCACATATACATTTTTCTACATTTTATGAATAACATAAATAATATACTTTATTGTTCATATTAATTTAATTATAGGTCTATGTTATCGAAATAAATAAAACAATATATCAATTTTTTAATAGGTCTGTCACTAAATGTAGTTATATACAAAGCGTGCCTTCCGCTCGAAACATACTCAAGATTGACCAGAGAATGTACTAGAAAAATAATAATTATAAGTAAAAAAAATTAAATATTGAGTGCACGCTTACCTTAGACATATAGTAATATATAAAATGTAAATAATATTTTTATATTTAATATATATTTATTTTACATAACATTTTTTGCAATTATTTTTAGATATAATTGAAATGCTTGGAAAATTATTTATAAAATTAAAGAATTTATTAAAAATTAATTTTCATATATTCTAATTGTTTTTTATAAAATTAAATTTTTTATAAAACAAATTATTTAGTTAAAACAGCAACTATAATATTAAAAAATATACAAAAATATATATATTATGATAAATGAAAAAACATTAAAATAACTATGTACATTATTAAATAATAATCTAGATGATATTAAAATGTAGTAATTGTACAGCATAATTATTAAAAAAAATTTGAAGTATTTCAATACTTGACTTCAAAATCTTATAAATATCTTTTCTCAATCTTTAGTTCTTTTTCTTTATATTTCTCGGTTTAATTGTTTTTCTTAATGTTTTTAGAGTTATTAAAATTTAATGAAACATAATTAAAAATAATCAATTTATACTATGAAAATATGAATTTTTTATCTTCTAAGATTTAATTTATTTATATCAATTACAAAAAAATTGAATACTTATTTGAAATGTGCTAATTAAAATTAGTAATTAATTTGTAACATATGAAATACTATATAAAATTTAATGTGTTATTAAATGATATTTTTAATCATTCATTTATTTATATAAAATTATTAATGTTTATAGTTTAAAAACAAAAAATGTGATCCCAATTAAAGTACTTTGTAATTATCTATATCTTTACTATTACCTAATTTAATAAATTAAGCAAGTAAAATGTTATTATATTTACAGATAAATGTATTGAATAAAATATTTTCATAAAAAAAAATAAATAGGTAATTTTTTAAATTTCTTTTGCACACAACTAAAATTATATTAAACTTTCAAAACTCTGAGTTTAATTTAAGGAAAAAAATGTAACTCCGAAAACTTCAAATGTGAGAATTTTAAGATATTAAATATTACATTCAATTTTTTTAATTAATAAACTTGAATATGTATATAGGTAGGTGTATGTATAATATTATCAATAGTAACAGAAATAACATTTATTATAAACATTGACGGACCGAATATATAGTTGAACTGATCGCTTCAGAGCAACGTACATCATTATAGATAATGGAGGTATATATTATTAAACAGGACTTACCATTATTGTAGCAGCAATACGCATTGATATTAATAAGAATCTTTCGGACTATACACAATTTTACAAATATCGTAACATTTTAGAAATCAAATAATAATAAAAAAACAATTTCTGAGAATGACATACTTTTTTTTAGAGACATTTAAGTTTACCAGAAATTGTTTAAGTCAATTATAATTTCATAACTAATAATAAAATATAGTCTAAAAACAAGAATTAATGCAATACGGCACCGATAAGTAGAATGGCTATATAAAAGTTGAAAAGATCACGAATTTGATGTAGTATATAAATAATTGCTTATAGAATAAAAATAAAATTCATCAAATGCACAATATTTCATCTAATAATCTTACTTTCTTAATTATACTTAAACGCATATATTAAAGTTTTATTTTATGCAACTACTTTCAAATATAATAGAATATAATAGAACAAAATTCTTTTAATATTAAAAAGTCAATGAAAAGTCTAATTAAGTATAAATAAAACTATATTAATTAGAATTTTTAGAATTTTTATGTATGTTTTAAATCGTGGTATATACAATTATTTTTTGGATTTATACATTTTGTTGGCGATGATATCACAGAATATTATATAAATTTACTCTCTGTCCGAAATTATAGTGATGTAATTCTTGGCTCGAACTGCCAATGCTTCAATAGCTTAGTTTGCCGCCTACCAGATTGTTTATCTAGCAGATGCTCGGGAAGAAGTGAGATGGAGGGGCTGCACAAGAGTCGTGAGAATTGGTTAATTATACATTTACTATACAATTTATTACCCAATTTACATATGGGTGTTGTAGAATCTTCTTGAATCTTATATGAAGATACGATTTCTTGATCGGCTTCTTATATAGGAGGTGTCACTACACAAAATGATTTGAAATCGTTGAATTGATGTTGAATTGAAAATTACACAGGTAAATAATTACTGCACAATACTTCTTTTCAGAGAGTGTGAGATAATGCAAATAGTTGTCTTGTGCAGGTTTTACTGCCGGCTTACAATAATTGAATAGATAACGTGTATTAATGTACTCACAGCGATATCGTAGTTTAAATCTGATCCAAGAATGAGTTGGTCACAATTGCACGCGGCAGAGCAAATGCGTGCGGCGTGACTCTTATACTTACAGAGATGCAGTAGTCTTGCTCTGAATTACTAACACTTATTTCTGCGTTGAATGATCTTTAGACTTGGCTTCTATGGACAATTAGTTTCTTATTGCTTGACTTTCCTTAAGATAACTCTTGGCTGTCCACGCGGACTGCGTGTTCTTGGTATCCCCCGCGGACAGCCCTTTGGCTGCCCACGCGGACTGCATATTCCAATAATCCCCCGCGAACAGCGACTTTCCGCTGTCTTGTTCCCATCTTTAAGGCCTCTTGCCATGAGTCCCCACTCAAGGAGCTTCTGGTCTTAGTTTTCCAATCAGGGCGCGCCGCTTTTCGGCGGCTGATGAATGTGCACGCCCTTTTCCCACTTCATAAGAAATTAGGCTTAGACAATGAGAATATCGAAGGAGTATCTTTGGCGGCAATGCGTGAAGTGGAAGATTTGCCCCTCTACGGG